GTGGCTGGCGCATCGAGGCCGCCATGTCGTTGGGACCCATGCCGAAGCCGCCATTGGCATACATGCCAAAGCCAGAGCTGCCATTGGTGTGGCTTGCAGCGGATAGCCCGGGAGGTGCTGACAAGCCTGGCGGTGGGCCAGTAGCCGTAGAGAAGCCCGGAGGGGCAGCAACACTGTTGCCAAAGCCCGAAAGAGGGGTAGTCGGTGTGATGGCAGACTGTGGGCCCATGCCCGTGTTCTGGCCACTGCGGACGCCCAAGGGATTCTTGGAGAAGCTTAGACGGATGCCGCCCTTGACACTGTTGTGGAGCATGTATCCATAGAGTTCGTTGAGGGCCTTGGTAGCAAACGACGTGTCCTCGAATTCAACAAAGCACATGGGGCCGTTTTGCTTGGTCCGGAAGCAGAGTCGCTTGTAGCCGCGCTGCTTGGAAAAGACGGCCTTGAGTTCGTCCTCGGAGGTGTCCATGGGGAGATTGCCCACGTAGAGCGTGTTGCAGGGCGGGTTCTGGTCTGCCGGGTTCACGGGCGGGTACGTGGGTCTGGCAAAGTGCTGCGAATACTGCTGGTAGCCGGTGCTGGGGCCGCTGCTCAGGGCAGAGGGGATGCTGTGCGGTGACATGGCAGACATGGCGGGGCCGGGCGACTGCATGTTGGAGCCGGTACGCGGGGAGACGTAGTTTGGTATGGGGGGCGACTTGACGCCGGTGGCACCGTTGGTGTTGAGGGAAAGGCTTCCAAAGCGCTGGACAGGAATGGTCGACGAGTTTGGGTTGGTAGCACGGCGCTGCATGCTGGGCTGGGGCTGTGGCTGGGGCTGGGGGCCGCCGGTGGCGTAGCCAATCGACTCGTTGAGCAGGCCATCGTCGTCATCCGCCTCGTCGTTGATGACGGATTTGCCCAGGTTGCGGCTTGCAAACGAAGTGTTGACGGGGGACGTGGGCGAGAAGAGGTTATTGACCGGGAATTCTCCGTTGCCAAGACCCGGGGTCCCGTTGGGTGGGGACATCTTCTCCATGGTTTGGAAGGTGCCGTTGTATCGCGAAGACTGGCGGGCGTTGGTCGTGGACGTGGACATGGCACTTGCCACCGAGGCCTGGCGCGCGGGTATGCTGTCGAGCGTGTTGCGACGCGAGCCGACGGCGCCGGGCGAGGCCTCGTGCATCAGCTCGACGACGAGCGTGGCATCGTTGGTGGCATTGCGCTTTCCATTGAGCAGGTCGCGGGCTTCTTTGGCGCCGTCAAACGTCTGGAAGTGGGCGACGGCGCAGGCAAAGCCCTTGTCGTCGGCGTGGCGGGGCTGGCTGAGGACCTCGCAGTCGATGAGGTCCTTGGCAAAGAGGAGGATATTGCGCACCGCCTCGCGGTCGCTGTTGGCGGGCAGTTTGCGCAGGAGGATGCTGTGGCGGGGGCTGGCAACCGGACTCTTGTCTACGGGCCTGCGCTCGCCGATTGCGCCGGGCGTGGCATACATGTGGGCTGCAAAGGCGTCGGCAGTCATGGTGTTGTGCGAGGCAAAGGGCTTGGGGGGCGACGATGACGTGGAGCTGCTGTGGGAGCCGTGGGGGAAGGGGCTGTTGGACAGGTTCGAGGGGCTCGTGCTGCTGGGGCTACGTCTGGTGGCCATGGGGGCGTCGTGTGTGGTGAGGCAGTCGGGGCGGGAGTCGCAGGAACAAAGAGGGCGGCGGCGGCGGCGACGGCGACGAGGGCGTCGAGGGCGTCGAGGGCCGGCAGGGTGCGACAGGAAGCCGAGAGCAACTCTGGCGGGCAGAGGGAGATGGGATGCGCATGCGCAGAGGGCAAAGGGCAGAGCAGAGGCGGGCGTGGTGAGTCAAGGAACGGGCGGCGCGGAGCGGACGATGGGGGAGCGAGGTTTGGGCAGAAGACGGACGTCGAGTGCAGGCGTCGTGGTAGGCACAGAGGGGCTTTTTGGGCGCAGACGCGGACGCTGGCTGGGAGCTGGGAGCGACGGCCAGCCTGGGCGATCCGCGTTGTCGAGGCGGCCTGGGGGGGGGGGGGGGCAGGAGCCAATGGGCG